GAACATCTCTCTAAATAACTACTGCCTCTGTCATCAAATTCTATTATTTTTTACTCCTAACTGAAGTAAAGTTTGTAACTTTTCATTATTCCTGGCACTGGTTCACTGAGTTAATTCCTGAACTTCTTGAGTTTATGCCTATATATATTTTAAAAAACCAACATACCATTAGGACTGACAAATCAGTTATTAATATCTGTACCATCAACCCAAAAGGTCTGCACAGACAACTCTGGGTGACAAAGGGAGATTAGATAACTTTGACTATCACAATGTCACCTGTTTGAGCCACCCCATCACAAGAGCCATCAATTCATCTAAAATTACATTTGGAGAGATGGTAATTTCTACAAGCCAAAGCCAAAACTTGGCTACAGTAGGAGGTAATTTATCCCATGCATTCTAAACCTGTCAACTTTGTATTTGTAGGGTGGTATTTTATAAAGCATATGTCATAAAAATGTCAACATCAAAGCCAAAATGAGCTCCTGGAACAAAGGAAAGTTATGGGGGTTTTCAAACAGTTTTCACTTGCCTGACAGAGTGCCAAAAATATGTTATCAGCTACATCCTACACAACACACACAGCCTACCTGCTGAAGAAGCAAATTTCCACTGTTTGGAATCACCAGTTCAAGACAAAACCATGACATACTCCTGATGCTCACTGGAAGACTCATCATGCAATAAGTAGTTAGAGGCTACCTGATAGCATTTTGCTTATTTTCTCCTCACACTGCATACAATTTTTTTCCCTGTGATGAAATGCTGCCAATGAGGGCTGGCCATTAAGTACAGAGATTTGGCTTTGTGGTTGTTTCTGTCTTGCAAACTTTCAACTGACAGGATCAGGCCACTGTGAAGCTGAGGAAAATTCATGTAATCACCAGCTATCACTCTAGTGAAACTGAGTCTTGTTTTAAGACCAAAGAAGCAAAATTTCTCAAGCATTAGGAAAGTGTGTTTTGCAGAGATATTGCACCTTTTCCTGGAAGGGTTCAAAATGTCTTTTTTTTTTTTTTTTTTTTTTTTTTAAATGGCAGCTGTTTTGCAACAGGAAGTAAGCAATTTGCAAAAAGAAAAAAAAAAAAGTAATTTTATAAATGTGCACTTGTTCAGGAAAGTCTATTAGCAGGAAAGAGTTTATCCTGTGTATATGGTCAGTTCCGAATGACAGATCTGCATCAAAATTATTCCATTTTACCAGCTCATCCAGTATGGTTGAGATCACCAGGTCCCAAGAGAAATTCCTGTAAACTAACACAGCCCCATGAGCTGTTCTGCCTTTATGAACTTTTCAGCTGAAAATTTGAACACACCATGAAAACCCAGGGCTCACTATTGTCAAATTCTAGAAATTCTTGATTAATTTCCTAAGACCCACTTCTAAAAAAGGGATGCACTATTTCAAAGCACTTACAAAAAAAATTCTCTTTTTTTTTTTCCTGTCTTGTCTAAAGGGTGATGATTTCCATGTTGATATTCTCCAAGCTGTGGGTTTTACTAATGAACTGATTATAATAATAATTACAGCAAACATGCAACACACAAGTTGTCAAATTTTCTGTTGAAGTGAGCTGAACTGCTCATCTTTTGATATATATATATAAGATTTTTGTCAAAATTACAAGACTGCGAGCTCTGGCAACCAGGAGGGCAAATTTCATATGTATTTCCCACTAATTCTGCAAAAAGAACTAAGGTAGTTGGATACTTAAATTCCACTAACCATGTCCTTCTACATCCATAAGATTAAAACCAGATGGCATCAATTAGACACGTCACCTGGCTTTTATGTGCCTTGATTTCTTTATGCACGAGAAAATAATTTGTCTGTCCTGTTGTTCAAAGAGTCTTTGCAATGTAGAGTGCAGCTGTGAGGTTGAAGGGGTAACAATAACTGTTTCAAAGGGTGAAAGAAAAGGAAATCCTCTAAACTGCACCCAGGTGCAGAGTTTCCACCGCAGTCAGGCTCTGTATCTGTGGTGAACAGAGCCCATTGCTCTCTGGAAAATGCTGCACTTCCATATCTGAAACTTTCAAGTGCCAGAGTGCACCAAACTCATGAATCAAAAGAAACTAATGTCGTTAAGATCATGGACAAATACTTCTCTGTATGTGATGATATGAAAGACACCATTACAGAATAACAGAGCATTCCAGCAACCAAGAGGGAGAGCACATCTTGGGTGGAGAAAAGCAGGTTTCCCTTTGGGGATTTACTGCTCACCCTTCACAGCAGCCAGGTCTCACGCAACTGGAAACCAGACACCAGAACTGATCTGAAATGCTGCCATTTGATGACAAGGAAAGCTGCCCTCTACAAATTAGCAGGCTATAAAGCCAAAGTGCTGTTTGAAAAATAACTGCAGGATGTTTCAGAATATTTGTCCCTTTACCTCAGCTCCTGCCACCACAGCAATATGCCCACCCAGTTTTACAATGCACACAACCACTTCCAGAGCACTGCTTGCACATGAGTGGAGTACAGGGTGTGACAAAAATACATTCCAAACTGATTCCACTAGAAGTGTTTCTTTTCCTGTGGCCATATGACTTGTAACAGTTTTTTTTCTGAGTACGTATATATGTTAAAACTTATGCAAGCTTTATGATTAAGTGGAAGCAACATAGTACTAAAGCTCGGTCAAGCTTTCTAACCCAAAATTCATTACTTTCAGAATCTAATTTAAATGCTAAGGCTAAAAAGTCCAGCTTGCAGATCAGTATTAGAATCCATGAGAAGGCATCTTTTATATTCTGATTTTGCTCCTGAGAAAAGATGTTCTGAACAGATTTAAGACGGGTCTGGTACATAAAGTCATGGCATCCAACAGACACATAACTTAGCCCTTTCCCAGGATCCTGTGTCCATATGTAACTGAGCAGCACTCATTCCCAAACATCTGCTCTCCCATCACCTTCCAGCTGCAAAATTATTTTTAACGCATTTTAGGAAACTGTCAGGAGGAAGGGTACTTGAGTAGAAGAATTAAGGGGTTTTTTAAGTATAAAAGAAACAAGCAGGACTCTGTAACACTTAAAAGACCAGATCAGAAAGGTCTCAAGGAGCAGGAGAAGGGCAAGAGAGGCAGTGTTTGGGAAGATAATGAACAAGTTATTAAGTAGCTGGTTATTGAACATTTAAGACAACAACAACATTAAAAAATTTGTCAAGAACAAATCTTTTTCTGACACAGTGAGCACGGGAGAAGCCACAGTTGTGACAAACAGGGAACAGATAAGGCTTTTAATCTGGCACCTGACAAGGTGAATCTGACAAGCTGAGTAAGGCATTATGGCCTAAACTAAAGAGCAGATACATCTATCATATGAAGATGTAATTAGGAATACTTCCCTTGCCAACTGGGAGTCAGATGGTGTTCCACGATGATCTGCCATGCACCTGCTTTATTTCAGGTTTTCTTACTACACTGAAAATGAAATCGAGAAAGCACACTTCCAGAATCTGGGCTGACAACTAATGTGGGAAAGATTGTAAGCATCTTAGAAGCAGAAATCAGAATGACAATCTGAAAATTCTATAGAAAGAAATGCAAAGTATTACAATAAAAATTCAAATACAAGGGGAGAAATTGGCCAGACAACAAAACCACACAAAATCTGATAGTTACAGTAGGTTGCAGTGAGAGCGCAAAACAGTTCAGGAAAAAGAAAAAGTATGGTAACTTTGACAATATGAAGATCTAAGACACAAGAAACAAATATTTTGCTCTGTTCAGCAGCAGTGGAACACAATGCAGCTGGGAAGAAACTTGCAGGTTAAACACTACATTTAGAGAAAACTGAAGGCAGAGTGGAAAATGGCTAAATTTTAAAACCACAGTTACCAGCAGAAAAATATTAAGAGAACAAAATTTGTTAACTGAAAAAAAATGTGAAATAAGAAAAGGGCAAAGTGAAAATCTTCAAGCATTTCTACAAATAAAAGACAAAATCAAATATCTTTAACGCACAAAGAACAGGAAAAAAAATCAGTGGTGGTATTTCCAGCACAGAATATAATAGGAAGAAACTCAGTGACCCATAAAAATCATCATGTAACAGAATTATGTCAGATCATGTAGTTCTATCACTAAGGCTTTTCAAAAGAAATTAAACAAATATTCAATTAAATGTTTTGTTAGAGGTTGCTGTAAGATTTTGCACTGCTTTAATGAAGTTGGTGTCACCTCAGAATTAAAGGGAGTTTAGAAACATGTCAAACTCAGTGACAATCAACTAAAACAAAGTAAATTCTTTACCTGATGTACAACTCACAAAGCAAGACTTCTGCCAATGTGAATAAATTCAACATGGGAATTGAAAATTACAGTTTTACCAGGATTAAACAGAATATTTGTAACCTTGTATCTGCAAACAAACAGCGGCACTACTCTATAAGTGGCACATGCTGAGCTTGTGATACAAAACAAGGCACAAAATAAGCTGCTGGAAGGGCTGGGGAAAATTTGAGGTGCTGAAGACAGGTGTGTAAGGGTGGACCCACCCACAGGTGCATCCTGCCTGGCTACTGCATGCCTTGCATATTGAGTTTGAGTACAAAACGCAACTCAAAGCTGTTGATTTTTTAACCAGCTCTACAACATTGGGTTTTGCATCTTGGGCAAAGGGGACGCCGTTGAGTTTCAGTATAGTTACAGAATATGCTGTGATGGAAGGGAACCACAAGGACTGTCGAGTCAGACTCCAGGCCCTGCACATGGCAGCCTCAAGAGTCGCACCCTGTGTAGCACACAGGTAGTCTCTCCTCCAAATGCACCACTGCCTTCCCGCCCGGCCTCCCGAGCTCCTGGCCCAGCCCATTCCCAGCTCAGGGCTGCTCCGGGGCAGCGGCGGCAGCAGCTGTGCCAACGAGCCCGAACAGCCCCTCAAGCACCCCCGGCTGCACCCCACGGGCCCCTCAGCCCAGGGCCGGGCAGAGCTGGGCGCGTCCCTCCCATGCCCGAGGGGCTCTGCCCCGCGGAGGCCCCGCTCACCATGGCGACGACGTTGACGACGGCAGCGATGGCGATACCCGGCCCGCCCCTGCCCGGCAACCGAAGCGCCGCCCCGCGCCCGGGCCCGCGGCTGGGCGGGAGCGGACGCGACGCGCGCGCCCCGCCCGCCGCCGGACGCGGAAGCCGCTGAGGTGACGCCGTGGGGCTGTCGCGACATCGCCGCTGCGGGCCGGCCTGCCGGGGCCAGGGCAGGGCGCCCGGGGCTGTGCGGGCCGTGGCTGTGCGAGGCCCTGCATCCTGCAGGGCTCGGCGTCCTGAGAGCTGCGGTGGGTAATGGTGCAACCAGCGAGGGAGATTGAGGAGGAGGGGGACGTGTTGGGAGGCTTTCAGTGACTGGCTGGGACTGTAGCGTGAACTCTGAAGGAGCGGGATCACCGGCAGGTCGTGTCTGATGGAGCAGATGAGCCCGAATGCTCCTAATCAGTCTTTCGTTGAGTATTCTTGCCTTTTCCTGAGCAGCTGCTCTTTCATCCTCCTCGTTCTCATCAAGTAAATAGAGATCCTCAATCACAAGGAAGGAACAGCAGTGGTGATTAACACCTAATGCTATTAAGTAAGCGAACAGACAACTCCAGTTGTAGAAGCAACAGATGGTGAGACTTCTCTCTAGCTGTAGTTTAAGGAAGCTTAAGGAGGAAAAGGTGTTTCTCTTGTCTTCTGTTCATCACAAAAGATAAACCTGCCTGACACAAAACAATTCTTTAGTCTAGAAATCCAAAGGTAGCAGTGTGCTCACTGCTGCCGTTTTATTTTTAGGGCAGAGAGCTGCTGCAGTGGAAGTCAAAAAGCTGTAGTTAAATCATTTCAGTTAGAGGTACAGGGAAAGGAAGCAGGAGCCCTCGGGATCTCCCTTGAATAATGGGGAGAACTCAAGGAAAAAAGCCAGCCAAACAAGATAGGAGTATACTGATCTCAAAGGAATGTAGTTAGACCCTAGAAAAGAGGGATGAGTGACACGTGTAATTGAGAGTGGATGGCGCTGTGGACGAATGTGGCAATGGTCAATGCTTTTGGTGGATAAGGGAGAAAATGGCCAGGATGGTGATTAGGGCCAAACTGTCAGCTTTTGTTGTTAGGTTAAAGTAAGCATGTGCTTCAGGGCATTGACTCCTTCTTTAATTGAGAATTGGCCCTATCAAAAAGGTTGTTTCAGCAAGCAGGACTGAAGGAATTGTGCAGCTTTGCAGCTGCCAGTGTTTCCTCCTCACCTCTTCATCTGCTTGAAACACAGTGTGGGATTTCCTTTTCTTGTGGTTCTGTGATTTTAGGTTATCTTGGCACAGTCATGTAGTTGTTCTGTGGGAGTGTTACAGGCTTTGAAAGGGTAAGATGGAGGCTCACTGTAAAAAGAAGGGAGGGAGACCAGAAAATAAAATTTAAGGAATAGAAACTAGAACAAGATGAGGAGCATTGCAAAGGAGTTGAAGTGCAGCTCTTGGTGGAAAAAAAGACACAAGTGCCAGAAGACTCATAGTCTTCTCCTTTTAACTCTATGGGTTTTGGTGTAGTTTTTATTATTTTGTGGTTTTCCCTTTTGCTTTGGTGTGGACTTTTTCACTGTGCTGCTGGAGTTTTGAGGTTTTACTAGAAAACAGGATAATCCAAGATTAACTGCTGTGGTTACCTTCTTAAAGATTTTTTTTTCTTTACTCCCTTCCTTATTTCTTCCTCAGACTTACCTAGTTAGGAAGAGCTGGCTGCTAAAGAGAAAATGACATCTCTAGAAAAAGGTAAGGTGTTCATAAGACATCTAAGCAGACTGGATTAAAAAGAAGTACTTTAACTGGAATTCTAAACACCAGAGTTACACTGTAAACCAGGCTCCTTTCATTTAAACTTACTCCTTTTATGTAGCTGTGAGGATGTAGTTCTTGTGACTTCATTATTACACTGAAAACCAGAGCTGCCTGAATGAAACAGCAATTGAATGTAGCTTTTCTAATTCAGCTCGATACTGAAAAATAAGTTTGTCACTGGTACTGTGATCTCTGTACACTTGTCTGACAGCCTCCTCTGGTATTTAGAACCTGTTGGTACTGATTCAGCAAACTTTAAGCTAATATGTGTTATTACAGCATTTTTGAAATCCATTAATATTTGGATAGAAGCTCACATTACTGCCTGCAGTATGAGAAAAAAAGCAGTATGTGTAGGCATGCCCTCAGAAACTTTGTATCTCTTGCCCATTGTGAGGAAACTTCACTACAATAATAATTCATCCAGCTGAAAACTTAGTGGACTTAAATAAAATTAATTTCAGTAAATGGCATGTATATTGGGAACTGTGGAGCAGAATGCAGCATTACTGGGAATGCTGGAGTCTGTAGGTCAGAAATGGAGCAGAACTGGATTGTTGGCTTTTCTTAAACATTTTCTTAAACTTGGGCAACTAAAACATGTTAATACTTAAAAGTCTGCTAAACTTCTTAAGGTGTCAGTAGCTGTCTGAGTAATAACTCCTTGCTTCATTTGCTTCTTGCTTTTTAAACGAAACTGCTCTGATTCTGCCAGCTCCCAAAACCTGAAAGTTGTAAGTTGAGTAAAGTTGTCAAGATTTTTTTTTTCCAGGAAAAAAAAAGTTGTCAAGATTTTTTTTTTCCAGGAAAGCTATTTTTTGTGTCTGCATTTAATCTTGTATGGCAGCAAGAAATTAAAATTAATGCAATTCAGGTCAGTATTTGTGTCTTGTACTGCTGTTGTTATGAGCAATGCACATTTGAGTAAGTACTTACTTGAGCAAGGGCTTACTGTGAGGGTGGTGAGACACTGGAACATGTTCCCAGGGAAGTTGTGGATGCCCCATCCCTGGAAGAGTTCAAGAACAGGTTGGACGGGGCCCTGAGCAACCTGGTCTAGTGGAAGGTGTTCCTGCCCACAGCAGGGATTTTGGAACAAGATGATCCTGAAGGTCCCTTCCAATCCAAACCATTCTATCCTATGGTTTTGTGACTTGTGCTTGATAATCACTGTTGCAATGGACTATTTGACACATGCAGTGTAGAATGAAAATCTCTAACTTTGAAATACAGAAATTAAGGGAAGACTTACAAGGACACTATAACCAAGTGAAAGGTGGTAAACTTTTCCTCCACAATTTCTAAATTTCAGCTGATGATGCCTCTTCACCCATTCGAGGACCTGGAGATGGCATGGAAACAGAGCAAACAGCTGGAGCAGTGGAAGTAATCACTGGAGCTAACACTGCCGGCCATCACACTCACCACAGCCCCGATAAAAAGACAGCTTCTTCCCTGAGTCCTGGAGTTCTGCAGCTGGGAAAAGTACATGCAGATAAATCAGTGGAGATTGAAGCTATTAGAATTTTAATCCCCAAAGCAGCCATCACCCATGTTGTTCCAACTAAAAATGCTAAGGTAGCTAAATCTGTGGGACACAGAGGAGACACATTCCATCAGTCAGATGGAGCCACAGATCCCAAGAAAGAACAGATAGAGCTGAAAACTGCAATTGAAAAGCTAAAGAATTCAGAAAAGCGGTTGTTACAAGATAAAGAAGGTCTCTCTAATCAGCTGCGTATACAGACAGAGGTAAGAAATTAAAGGTGTTTGCTCTCCCACAGCTGAACTGTTAGGGTTTGTAGAAGCAGTTTGTGAATGTGAGCAAAGAGAACTGCTATGACACTCTAGCCTTGAAACAAATAGGTTCCCTTTTGAACTTAGCAGCTGAAATGCAGAGTAGAAGTACATCAAAGTATTCCAGTGCTGCTTCTCTGACAAAAGATGAAAGAGTCAAAGACTTAGCTAGGAGAAACATACTACATAGCTGCAGGGAAATGAATCTTTCATGAGGAAAGACTTTGCTTCTTAATCACAAAGTGGGAAGTGTTATGCTGTAGAAGGGTTGACTATAACTTCCTTTTTCATACACCTGTGGAAGTCTTGTCTAATCCTTTGTTATCTTACTGATTCAGGAGTTGAATACTACTGAAACTTTGTTTCCTGCAGTAGGCTTTCATTCTTCCTCTTTGACTGTTAGAATTTAAACAAGAATGTGTTGGACATGCATTAGGCTCATACGTTTGTGCTTGCCTGGATATGTCCCATTCTGGAAAGAGAAAGAAAATTTACTGTTGGCAATTTGGAATAAGTTGCACTGCATTCTTAGGAGTTTTTATTCTCTATTGATAGTCACAAAGGAGTCTGGTCTAATTCCAGGTCAATCGGGAGCTGAAGAAATTACTTGTTGCTTCTGTTGGGGACGATCTGCAGTACCACTTTGAACGAATGGCTCGTGAGAAGAATCAGCTCATCCTGGAAAACGAAGTCCTGGGCCGGAATATGGCTCAGTTGTCAGAACAGTTGGAGCGTATGTCTATACAATGTGATGTGTGGAGAAGCAAATTCCTAGCAAGCAGGTATTCCCTCTCATGGAGCTGTCCTAACAGCATTCTCCTTCAGTCTTTCATCACATACACTCATTGCAGTGTGCTTACATATGCAGAGGAGAGCCACAACAGCCATAGTGATACCTACTATGAAATCTGAGAATACAGGAAAGGTATAAAGAAAATAAGCTCCTTGTAAATCTGAACAGTCCTGCTTCTCAGAGGTAATACAGCAAATCCTAAACTTCTAAAATCTCACTACAGCTCTTGTCAAGAAAGCAAGAGAAGCTCTTAATTTTGATAAAACTGCATGCCATTTAGGTATAAAAATGTCTTCTAAGGCAGCTGACTTTTCTTACAGGTAGTTAGTTGATTTTCATCCCCAACCTCCCTTCGGTATGATACAGTCATCAATTTGAGAAGAAGCTGATGTGTTTAAGAGTTCTGCCTGTAGTGAGTCAGGGATCTACTACAGAAGAAAAAGTAGGGGGACCTCTTTATCAAACACTGGTTGTGTTGCTGCTCAGGACCTTACTGTTACTTCTTTAACCATAAAAGGAGGTGTGAAAGTCAAAATCTCATTTGACAATGACTTTAAACTTGCTTAGTTGTCTTACCAGATCTGTAAATAGTGTTCTAGGATTTTTAATTTTCTGCTATACTTGGATATAACTGACTGAATTATGATGCTTAATGCATAGCACAAAAGACCTTAATGCTTGAAGGAAATGGCTGTAGAATACAGTCTCCTCCCTTTAATTTGCCGGAGAAGTTTCAGCAAATGGGGTGAATGGTAACTTGGGTAACATGTAGGATGTAATAGTACTTGTAAGTGCTAGCTGAGCAAGAGTACTAGGCAAACTTGGAGTTTTTTAACATTATGAGGAGTTCTGAGATAGAGCTGTGAGTCTCAGCAGTGTGGTTAAAGTAACACTTCAATATTGTAACATTCTGGTTCATTTTTATCTCTAGTATTTCTAACTGGTGGTTGTTTAAATGTCATTCTGATTTTCGCATTTGGAATATCACAGGCATTTGAAATGCCTGCTGGAGGGGTAGCGCCAAGCCTCACGGCGTAGCAAAATGTGACAACAGCTGTCTCCTTAGTAGCTCTTAAACACTCATATCTGGCATCCAGTGATTGCCCCTGAGTAGGGCAGAGAGGTAAATGAATGCAGTCTATAGCCATAGTTTCCATTTTTAGAGAAGAGTGAATTGATGTGATTACAACATACTTGTGAGAATTGTTAGTAAAAGAAAAATATATTTAGCTTTTTCTTTCACAGGATCCTTGTCAATGTACACTTTCCCAAGGTGTTTTGAAATGTCTGTTACTAGATTTGTATTAAGTGACCTAAGATTGTTTAAACTGAGGCAATACATAATCTTGCATTGAAGTTGGCTGTAGTTGAACAGAAATTATTCTTAATTAGGTTGATATAGGCTCTGCACAGGAGAGGAGACACAGAACAGCAGCTTAATACTCGGGTTGAGCAGACAAATTATGGTCTGTAGTAGAAAAAGGTGACTTTCAAGCTGTTCACTTGCACTACTGACTGGAGGTTTCCTTTGCAGGGTGATGGCTGATGAGCTGACCAATACCAGAGCAATTCTTCAGCGCCAAACAAGGGATGCACAAAGTGCAATCCAGGACTTGCTGAATGAACGTGATCAGTTCCGTCAAGAGATGATTGATACACACAAGTATGATTTTTCTAATCCAGACTACCTCTGTGCAAACTTCATTTTTGTCAGTTTATTTTAGGCTAGAGGAGAATCAAGTACCTTTCCCCTCTTCAAGTGATACTCAAAAAATATGCTGATGTATTGTATGGTCACTTCTCAGTCTTAGGGCTGAAAGAGCAAACGTAATAGAATGCTTTCTTCATTCCCTAGAGGTCTGAGGTTATAAGGGTAATAAACTATGGAACTGACATCCCTCACATCCTCAGGCTTTCTTTCTTTAATCACTTACTGTCTTGACTTCGAGTCTTCTCTGTTTCCTTCCAAAATACCAAAGAGGAGATTCTTCTACCTACATGGACTTTACAGTGCTTATTCTGCCAGATGTTAAATAAGTGTTCCCAGGAATACTGTCCTGTGTTGGTGAGGCCTTGCCTTGGAGAACAGCCCACTTGTCTCCTTGTTCTTAAACACTTTTCTTGTCCATTTCTTTGGTTTAAGGTTTAGCTTATGCAGTAAACCTTGGGAAGAGATGATTCCTCTGAAGTGTGCTGGGTGCTGATTATACATTATAGAATACAAAGCCCAGTAACAGTGCTTCTTTCCTTTCTGCACAGGCTGCTGGAGGAGCTCATGGTCTCTCTTCAGTGGGGGAGACAACAGACATACTATCCTAGTGCCCAGCCTTACACTACAACAGAGCTAGCAGCTGTGAATTGTAAGCTAGCCAAAGCTGTAAGCTCACATCTTCTAGGAAATGTTGGCACTAACAGTCCAAAAAAGACTTCAACAGCTGTGGAGTTTTGCAATACCCCTGCTGAGAAAATGGCTGAAATGGTAAGAACTCTTGATGCATGTTAATCTTTATATTAAGGTTCTGGGTAAACAGATACTTAATTTTCAACCTGGAAGAAAGATGACGGATGGCTTTTGAGCAGAAATCCTTCCTAGCTCTTAGAGAAGGAAAAAGCCCATTAAACTGTATAAAAAACATTTTCAGTGTCAATTTTTCCATCCTTAGATGCTACGTGTACTGGATCCAGCTGCACATCCAGAAACATCAACAGAAGTTTCTTTTTCTGAGACTTCTCCATCTTCTTTCCTTTCCACAAAGAAAAGTATTGGAAGGTTTCACCCATATACAAGATACGAAGATGTCACCTTCAATTGTTGCAATCACTGTCAAGGAGAGCTGATAGCCCTTTAAAAGCCCAGCCAAGGCAGCTGCACATGCACTCTTTCTGAAGAACTACACTAGCTGATGTTCAGCAGGCATCCCTTTCTCCTTTTTCCATAATGGGTGGGTTTGGCATTGGAAATTATGCAGTTTCTGCTTCTCTACCTCTTGAAGTTAGGGATTGACAGGATTTCCATAGTCTCTGGGATACTTCTACTACTTCTCAATAGGGAAAGCTACTTATTTTCTTATATAAAGGCAAGACAACATTATGCTGGTCCAATTTATAGAGCATAGAGATGCTCTTGACTATTTAACATTTATAGTCCTATTAGCAAATCTTAATGAATTTCATTTTAGAGGGAGACAGAAGTGTAACCATACCAAAGCAAATGGAGTGCTGATCAGTTATGTCTAAATTTAAAAATAAAGCAATGATACATTACATTATGTCAGTTACATGCTTTTTTTTTTTTCTTTTAATTTTAGCCAAGGTGATGAACTACCCTCAAGACTATGTTCTACCTTTTAAATTTAGTTATAAAAAGGAGTATGTGCAATGATTCTTCATAGCTGTAAGTTCTGAAAGCAAGAGTATATACAATGTCAGCCCTCCAGTCAAGAAGGAGATAAAGCTTGAATGAACTCTGGCTCTAATATATAAGTAGTATCTGCTTTCAAATGAGTTTTAGAAAACCCTGTGAGATTAGGTTTTTCTTGTGTTTCCATAGAGGTGAAATAATGGCTTTTCAATTGTTTCAGCTTCTAGAGTGAAGCTGCTGTGTAGCTGATCCTCAGCAAAGGCAGACTGACATACTTGATTTAGTACATCCTTGCCTGGCATTAGGACTCAGTCCTTGCCTAAGGTCTTCCTGAATATTATGAGAAGGTGAAGATAAGCACTAAGTTTGCATTGGTACTGTTTAAAAAAAAAGTATTTTTTTACTTGTATGGTTTTATAATCTTGATGTAGAGTTGAAGTTCTTGACATAGGTTTGAAGAGAACTTTGAGGAGACAATCTGCTAAATCCAAAGAAGCTTATTTAAGTTTCTTAGGTTGACCCCCCAAATTTACCATATGAAGCTGTCTAGTTTAGAGAAAAGGTTTCTGAAATGGTTGCTTTTACTCAATTTTCCTTTGGATCTCACACCCATTTTCAGAATATGTAAGCTGTAAGTTCTTGCTGTTGCTGGCCCTGATTTGGTTTACATGAAGAAAGCTACAATAAATTTCCTTTGCTTGCTTTCAAGTTGCAATTTTGGATTTAATGAAGTCACATTTCTGACCCTGTTTTCTCTGTAGCATAAAAAGAACTACATGACATTGAACCATAAAACCCTTCACTCTGCTGGTGTGAGGCCATGAAGCACCTCTTTTTGTAGTTTTCTACAGTTAGAGAGATGGTGTGTGTGAACCTTTGCAAACATTCCTCCTGGATTTGCTTGCTAGACACAGGAAGCTCTTTGTGCCTTTGGTGTTGGAAAGGTACTGGAAGGAGGAAGGCACCTGTTACTTATGTGTCCCATTAGCACGTGAAATTTTCATTTTGTGTCCATGCTTGCTCTCTGTGCTGGCAGAAGCTGCAACAGAGCAGCCTCCAGTCCAACACCAGTGCTCTCAATGTGCCTGTAAGCAGCTCCAAAAATAACCAAGAAAAATACTACCAGCAAATCTGCTTTGCATCTACTACACTTCTGCCTGCTGCAGTACTCCCAGAAAACACTGTGAATGTTGAAAAATTTAAAAGCAATGCCAGGATCGCGAAATCTGTTGGGGCATACAGCTGGACAGATTGCTCTTCTTCTTTCACTGACTTTATGATTTCATTAGTGACTTTGGCATGTTCTCTATCAAGAGTTCACAATTAGGAACTTCCTTACTACTGGAAAAAGGTCATAATTTTCACAAGCTTTTAATTCCATGGAATAGAAAACTACTGAATATGACTCACAGAAGTAAGTTTCAAAACCTGTTGCACAATCACCTACACATTAGTCTTCAATCACCATTTTCCGGGAACCTGAAAGAACACAGTCCTCTGGTCTAGAACTGGTCAACAGATCAATAGGAAGTACTACAAGAAACATCATTTTCCAACAACATAACACTTTGAACAGTCTTAATCACTAGCAGCATCAAACAGCAATATTAATCCACCAAAAATTCAACATTTTACACAGTAGCCTGCATCCAGGAATCCATGATGGAGCTGTGTATAAAGTGCCTTTTAAAGAAGGGAATGTGTATTTGCCACCCTCATACATAGATCTTGCACTCATTTGGATTTGGTTAAACCAAGAAGATCCTGAGTTATACATTAAAGCAGGCTTTTCAACTAAATTACAAATAAATAGATAGTAAATCATTGTCACTTAAGATAATTGTTAAACTTGCTTGAAAGCTTTAAAAACACCACAAAAAGCTAGTAGCTGCAAAGGACGAAAGCTCAAGCCATAAAAATTAAGATTGTCACCAAGAACTCTGTGGCTACATCAAATTTTCAGCTGTAATGATCTGAGAAACAACAGGATTTGGGCTCGGAATTAAATATAGTGGATGCTCCGCATTTTTCTTGATCTTCTGGCTTCTAATCTAAGCTGCTTGGCTCTCTCTTTAGCAGCTAGCTCTGCTGCTTGTTTCTCTTCTCTCTTCTTTCTCAGCCAGCTATGGAGAGAGAAAGAGGAATAGAAGTACTGGCAGTTGTAATTTCAAGTTTTACATTATCCATTCAAAGGAGATTTGTCCTTTAAATGATAGAGCCCACCATGTCTTGAAGTTGGGTGTCATGGCTGAGACAGTCTAAAAGCCTGCCATACCCAAACACAGGAAACACTACTTTCCCACCCCAATTCCCCTTCTTTTGTACCCACCTTTACACCCCTCCCCTTTTGTTAAACTGAATTAGCTTTATGCTCATTTCAAGGACTGAATCAACCCAAGGTTGCTCCAAAATAGGCAACAAGGGTTTGAGGAGAAAATCCCCTTTTTAGCAAAATTCACTCTTTTCAGCTCAGGTTCTGACAAATAATTTCACAGCAGTGAACAAACAGCATCAAGGAACTGATGTATTTTTGTTAGAGTGTAATTTTAAAAGGGCATATTCATGTGAAAACCCTCCAAAACAATGAGGACTTCAGTAGCAAACATGTACTATAAGCTAGCTACAGTTTTGAGATGATAGACTACAAAAGCTTCAAATGTGGTCCCTTAGGAATGACAGTACTCACTCTCTAAAAGCTCTGTCACAATCCTCTGCACTTGTAAAAAAGGCCACTTCCTCAGTTTGTCGTCTCAAGACTTCTATCCGTCTTTCTCTCACATATTGTTGGTGCTTTTTTTTAAGCCATAATCTGTAGGCTTCTTCTGGATCCCTGTGCACCTCCTAATGAATAAAAAAGACATGTATACACAAGGGTTATCAATAAATAACTTTCATAATAATCACATTATAATAGCTTTTTTTTTGTATTCTGCTGGCATCTCCCCTCCATGAAACATCCTTTATAAACAAACTAGAGCATATGCTAATCTGGCATAGAATATATACATGAGCAAGCATTCAAAGCACTATGTTTAAACAAGAAGTGAATTTAGCTTTTCAAGCCAATCACTTTAAGGCAGAAGAATTTTAGAACAGCATCTGAATCTCCAGGTTTTGATAGGTCATGTGCATTAACTGCTTACTAGCAAGTTCTGATGGTAAGGAACACACTCCAAAGAGTCTTCTGGCTGCTTGTTCACTCAGGGCTTAATCACGGCTTTCTCCTGGTATATGGGAGCATCACTGTATCCCCTGTGATTTTAAAGTTAAGTACATGTGTGCTGTTTCTGCATTGCAAGCCACTCTGCTAAGCAGATCAATCATAAACCTGCAAGTCTACCTCTTCACTGAAAACAATGTAACAAGAACATTTCCCATTGTTGTAAATTTTCATACACTTAGCTAAGAAGGCAGGTTTAGAATTGGGTTTTCCTATTCAACAAGAGCACTATAGATCCCAGTTCCACATAAGGGAGACCTTACTTTAATGCTCTGCTCTTCCAGCAGCTTTGCACGACGAATTCGCTTTTCTTGTTGTACCTGTTCTTTCTTCTTCTGTAACCAAGCTTTAAAAACCATTTCATTCTGCCTTCTCCTCACTTCTTCTAGTTCCCTTTTCTTTTCTTCTTCCTTAAGTGTAAGGAAAACTGAATAAACTTAGTTTTTAAGAGAATTATCTTAATCTGCAAAGGCTGTTGCAGGCAATAAATAAGTCATTTGAATTGCATGAGACACACTTAAATACAGATGAAACAAGACTACTCAAAGACTGCATCACAGCTAATACAACATTTAGGAAGAAATTGCTTGGAGCACTTCTGTTTGTGATATATTCAGACACTTTCAGTCTAATTCTCTTGTGATTACCTCTATTTCCTCTCGACTCACAGACATTTAAACAGCTTCAGGCAAAAACTCAAAATTAAGTCGGCCCAGTATCTCTGGTTAGCGTAGAATCACTTTAAATGGATACATTTTAGAAATAAATGCAGCTCTCAGGCTTGATGGACCACTGAACCCTAAAGGATATTTAACAACACATGGCAGGCACTACCATATAAATAAGAACCTTTTCTGGACATGAAATTGCAATGTATTTACTTAAGGAATATTAATAGCTTCAGGCTTTTTTCAATTATACAAAATGAACTGATATTTACAAAATGGAGAAAAGTTTCTTTTACTTATTAATTACATTTTAGCTAATGGTAAGTATCTACAAGGAGAAGAAAAAGTTTCAATTAATGCTTCAAAAAGCTGATTAGGACCCTTTTTACCAGGATTTACTCTTTGACACAAAAGCTATAATCCCTACTCATTTCAATACTTAAGACATCTAATCTTGCAAATAGATGATGTTCCTCCTACCTACACACAACTTCCTTATATCCTTCAAACTTACCATTTCTAATTTACTGGAATGAAACAAAGTCCACCAATATGAAGCATATAGATTCTAGTCATGTAAAGAAACGTTTAAAGCATGTGAAACCCATCACAGAATGGAAGAATTCCATTCCAGAATGAAGAAATAACACATCCTTACTTTTTCTTAAGTCAGCCAACAAGGAAGAAATTTAGCACATACTGTTAGAAAAATAACCTTCCTTCCCCTCACTACCCTACCTTTTACATTAAATACACAGAGCATGGTTTCAAGAGATCTAGTCTTGTGTGCACAAAGAAAACACTTCAACTGCTCATCAGATTGTATATCCCTCATTACTAAGCTGAGCCTCAGCAACCTTTTCAAATAAAGCAGGCTAGAGCTCTTTCCACAGATAGAAAGTAACCTTGGAAGCTACTTAGCCAGCTTAATTAGAACAGCATGGCACAGGAAAATGGCAGATGCTTCATGGTCCTTTTATAGGGCAACACATACATAACAAGTTACCTTTTTGTAATTGTATCATCATAATGCAAAAAGAAGAAAAAAAATCACCATTTTTTTATTCTCTATTAAAGATTTCTGAAGTTCTCATTACAGCTGTCAGAGGCTGACTCTCTATTATATTTTTTTTCCATGTAAGGAGCTGAGAAAGAATTAAAAGGGTTCTTACAGTCAGTCTGCTATGTAAATGTTATATTATGACTGAACACTCTCCCATATGATAATTGTCTAATCCATACTTCTTGAGTACCCAAACATGCCCCAGCCTTACTGTGGTTAATGTAAACTTCCTGCACTGCAGTATAATATGTGCAGATGTGACACCATGTGCTACATTCCATAAACTGTGGGACTGTAAAAGAACCTAGATAGAGAGAGAGTCAAAAAGCAAAAGCAGTAAGAAAAATATAACAGGTCCATTTATGAAGGATATATTAAATAAATGCTTCATTTCTCCTCTGAGCAAGGCATGGTCCTATGCAATTCTGGGAAAGTAGCTTTGAGAGATTCCCTACAAAGCCCAGAGAATTATTGTTATTATTGCTGTTCTTGTTATTATTACAACTATTATTGCTGCCTCTTCTTATCAAAGGATTATGGTGTAAATACACACAGCACGTGGTCTTTGTGGAGCAGAGGAATAGAATGGTCCTGTGATTTACTTTTCTCTATATATTTACCTCTCTCTTCAGTCTTTCTTTCCTTAGCTCTATCTGCCTCCTTAATTCTTTTTGTCTGGGAGTAAGACTGTAAGTGGAGCTTTTCACAGGTATGTTCGCACACTCAGTCTTCTGTTTTCCCACATCTTTTGCACCATTCAAAGCAGAATCTGGCTGCTGCTTAGAGTCAGATGTAGGCATTTCTTTTGCTTGAGAGGCAGTGGGCAAAGAACTGAAGAGTTCTGTAGTCTGTTGAGTTTCAATATCTGTAAAATAAACTCTCACTGGGGCCAAAATGCCCTGGCTTTCAATGTCACATATACATAAGAGTTCAAAATTTTCATCTTTTTCAGCTACAGTTTTACCATCTGTCTTCTCATCTAAGCCAGCACATGCTGAAAGTGATATGCTTTTCTGTCCCTTGTCAGAAATACTCAGCTTAGACAGCCTGTCTGAAACATCGCCTGCTCTTGCAAGGTCAGTTTTACCAACTTCAGCATCTTCTGGAGGAGCAGCTTGAAGACCCACTTCATCCTCAAATTTTAATTTCCGTTCTCTGTTTTTATCCATAGGAGCCTGATTTTCCAGCTCTTTGTTGGCTTCTTCAATCTTTTCCAAGACATAACGCTTTATTTCTTCATCCTCTCCCTCATCCAGTTCCTGCTCATTTTCCAGCTTGGATTCCTGGACAGAGCTTTCTCTCTCAGCATCAGATTCATGGTCCTCCTGTTCAATATCTGCCCCAGATTTCAAATATTTTTCATTAGAGTATATCACTTTCACATTTGCATCTGCCTCTGAAAGCTGATCTAGATTTTCTTTTATTTCTTTATTGTCTTCTTGGAAGCTGTCTGCACTTTTAAGAATTTTCGCTTCAACATCCTCTTCCTTTTCTTCAGGATTCTAAAAAAAAATTAAAATAAACTAGTCTCTTCTCTCAACAAAAGAGCAGTTATCAAAGAAAGAGAAAAGATACAGTAAGAGAGAAGAGCAGTACAAACTATCTTCATTCTAAACCAAGTTGTCACATAGTACATGTTATAACTAACAGCTTTTTTGGCACTAACAAGTCTCTTCATTTTCTTCATGATCACATTCACACAAAGTTTAACTAACCAGTGAAGTGATTAATGACAGCATAAAACTGCAAAGAGTGTTATACAAACACTTAAAGGAACCCAGAAGTACTTTTGAAAAAAAGTAGCATTTTCAATGAACACTGAATTTTCTACTTGACAGATATTATAACCAAACTAACCAGTTAGCTGAAATGTTTTTCACTATAATTCCAAATAACCTTCCTTGTCAAAATTCAGTGAATGCACCTACACATTTCAGCAATACTGAATTTGTGCCTATGATTCCAAATACTACTCAATTTTGTCTTCTAAATAACACAATTAGCATTTAATGTAACAAATACCTCTTTTTCACCAAGGTTTTGTTTTTCTTCTTCATCAGTTAGGCATTCCGTGTCTTTTTCAAAATCATCCTCATATTCTGCATTTTCTGTTGATTCACCCACATCTGCTTGATCTTCCTTTTGATCCAGATCTCCTTGAGCTTCCTTTTCACTCATTTTGATGATGTGTTAGAGTAATACTACACAAAGGAGAGGGAATAAAACATTTTCAAACTCTAATGACACCCACATCAGACTTGTGAGCAGTAATACAAGCATGTTAGATAGTGCCACAGCACTCAGGACTAAGGATCACCAATGGCTCATAAACATAAATGGTTTTGGCCTTTCCAGCTCAGGTTACTCGGAGAAGGTTTGAGATACAGCAAATCAAGGGGATTTAACACCTCTGACAGAGCTAAAATTAGAACTCATGATATTTTAACAAGTTAGCCTTGTGCTTGGACAAAGAGACCACTATTTTATATTAGCTAGAAGTGCTATGAACTTCTTGCTTGTATCTTGCCTTGTTTATATCTTAACTCGTTTAATGCAGTTTAAACACTCATTAATCTGTTAATCACACTGGCTATAATCATGTTCATGACAAACCTGAAGATGAGCCACTATAAAGACTGAATCTTTTAAAAAATCTTTGTACTGCATAGCACACAGGTGCCACCAGCTCCTGAAGGACTGCTTAAATGCCAGTGCTTGGTGCTCTACGCTGACTGCCTGCTGCCCCTCAGCTCAGCTCTCTCAGTACAAGGCATCAAAGACAAAAAAATTTAAAGATGTGGACACACTCATGAGCATAGAGAGCTGATTCTGCTCTGTTTATAGCTTTAGCCCCTCCTCATTCCTTCAATTATTTATTAATTTTTACAAAAGCAGCACAGAAGAAGAAAACATCAATTATTCAAAAGTTCCTGTTCTTTTTGTACCATCAGCTGTAGGCTGGAAGGTGCCACTTCTATGTGTCTCTAGGAGGATTAATCAGTGTCATTTTCAATATACCAAAGATCATGATTGTTGTGACAGGACAAGGAGTAATGGGTACAAAAAGAAAGAGAGGAATTTTAGGTTAGGTATTAGGATTAAATTCTTTGCTGTTTCAGTGGTAAGGCACTGAAACAGGTTTCTCAGGGAGATTGTGGCTGCCCCATTCCTGAAAGTCTTCAAGACCAGGTTGGATGGTGCTTTGAGCAACCTGGTCTAGTGGAAGGTATCCCTGCCCATGGCAAGAAGGTCACAATTTGATGAGGTCCATTCCAACCCCTTAACATTCTGTGATATCATGTGGCAGGACAATGTGGGGTGTAAGAGAGAGGTCTGACTCTGGATGGCCCCAGAATAGCAGGACAGCTCTTGCTCTGTGACCATCCTGGCCTTCCAGACAAGAATCACAGAACCAGAGAATCAACAAGGGTTGCACCTGGACTTTCAAATCCATCTATGCGTTTTGTAAAAACCCTTTCTTGCAGCAGATGTTGCTTAAATTCTTCCAAGCCTTTGTTTTGAGTTCTGATGAGCATCTCTGAGTTCTCAGTTATGTATTCTCAGGAACACCAGCTCTACTCCTTAGAACTCAGTATTTCATGCTGGTAAAGAGTGATGTTCTTTTAAGCCTCAAAGCTCAGTCAAGATTTATTTTAGAGTGGTAATAAAGCTGGACATTCTTTGCTGCAAAATTGTTTGTACAAAAACTTTTAAAAGCTCCTTGTCTTCTCTGATCCATATGTTGTTTAAGAAAATCTGTCAGGTTTTTCACTTCTTTTTAGCTACCACTTGCTACTGGAATCACTCATTCACACTAGATTTCTCAGAATTTAAATTTTAAGAGCTCATTCAGACTGTTGCCTTGGCTTTCAACACTATTATTTCCATCATGTTTTCCCTGCACCACCTCATATGACACATAATGATTTTTGCTGGGAAATGCCCCTTCCTTAACAAATATCCTTGGTTTGGGTGATGACATACCTGGGATCTTAATGGAGATTACTTTGCTGTAGTGCATATTCAGCACAAAGAACTATTTCTCTGTGACTTCATTATTACGATAAGCAGATACAAAAGCTGCACAGATTAATTGTGCCTTTAAAAAAATATGTTCACATCAGTCTGTGGCACTCAATACAAACACATTGAACATGCTGTTTAATTCATTTAGGTGAAGAGTAATAGTGGGGAGCAGCACAAAAATCAGCTTCTCCTGTTGTAAGATAAAGTAGCCATGGCTGAAGAGATAACTTCCAATTAAATTATTTGTTTCATAGAATCACAGAATGGTAAGGGGTTGGAATGAACCTTAACATCGTCTATTCCCAACTCCCCCTGCCAGGGGCAGGAACATGTCCCAATAGACCAGGCTGCTCAAAGTCCCATCCAGCCTGGCCTTGAACCCTTTCCAGGAATGGGGCATCCACCATCTCCCTGGGCAATCTGTTCCAGTGTTTCAACACCCTCACAGTAAAGAATTTCTTCCTTTTATCTAACCTAAACTTCCCCTCTTTCAAGTCTCCACTCATTTCCCCTTGTCCTGTCACTGCAGCTCCTGACAAGGAATCCTTCTCCAGATTCTCTATGGGTCCCTTCATTACTGGAAGGCTATAATGAGGTTTCCACACAACCTCCTCTTCTCCAGGCTGAACAGCCCCAGCCTTCTCCGCCTGTCTCCACAGGGGAGGTGCTCCCGTCCTCTTGCCAGCCTCGTGGCCTCTTCTGGACTTGCTCCAACAGTTCCGTGTCCTTCTTATGCCATGTCCTTCTGGTGCCTTGGAGGCACCAGAAAATCCTGAATCAGCTCCTGTTCTATTTTGGATATTATGAAGTAAAGTGATTCAGCACTAAGAAGAACCGAAAGTATTCTGAAAATCTCACATCTTCATTTTCACCTGCTTCTGTTCTACGCGGGGTGTGTCTGTGGAGGGTGTGCGGTGTGACCATTCGCTCTGCACAGCTTAGCAACAACACCTCTACGCGGTCACAGCCAGGCACAGGCACAACGAAAGGCGGACAGAGCGGCGGATTTCTGTCGCTTTGTCCTTCTGCATCAAAACACACACACACACACACACACACACACACACACACACACACAGACCCACGAACCCAAACCCCCCGGGGCGCTGGGGCACGTCCTCACCAGCATCCCCAGCTGCCGTGGGACAGGCGGCGCCGCCGCTCCGGCCGGGACGAGGAGCCGCCACCGCAGGGCACCGCGGTTGCCGTGACAGCGGCGGGCCGCTCGGCGCCACGGCGGCTCCCGAGGGACAAACGCCGCCTCCGCGGCCGGACTGCGCCGCGCTGTTGCCATGGGGACGGGCCTCCTCGCCAGGCCCCCCTTCCTGCCCCTTTTGCACCTAAGGCCTGGAAACTGTCGGCAAGCGGAGCGCTGAGGGGAGCGGGGGCACACTCACCCCACGGGAGAGGGGCAGGAGTGTGGAGATGACTCGCCCTGTCCAGCCCAAAGCCCTTCTTTGATGCTATTAAATTATGCACTCCTCAGGAAGCAGCCTCGGTTTGTGTTCTATTATTCATCACGCTCCGTCTGGCAGTGAGCAATCGGATCAGCCCAAGAGGCAGCAGTGTCGGGATTTGGGCTTTTATTGATCACAGAATCATAGAATTGTCGGGTTGGAACGGGATCATGAAGCTCCAACGCCCTTGCCATGGGCAGGGACACCTTCCACTAGACCAGGCTGCTCAGAACCCCATCCAGCCTGGCCCTCAACACCTCCAGGGATGGGACATCCACAGCTTCTCTGGACAACCTATTCCAGAGTCTCACCACGAATGAAGACAGCATTGAATCTCCAGAGACACACCTCTCTGTGTTAACCACACACTGCTCCTTGAACTAGGAAAAAAAAAACAACAACAAAAAAAAAAAAAAAAACCAAAAAAAAAAAAAACAAAAAACAAAAAAACAAAAAAAAAAACAAAAAAAAACAACAAAAAAACCCCACCCTGATTTACCTGCAGAGGAACCGGGGGAGCTGGCAGAGGGAGAAGGATCAGACTCCTCAGTGGAGCTGGAGGGAGGTGACAGGTTGCAGTTTCCTCTAGGGAGGATAAAACACCCCACAGGTAGTGGATGCTGTGCCCTTGAGGCCAGCAGGACCCCAAAGAGCTGTGTGACCACCAGACTCCCCACAGAGCACACACAGAGCTCACTGCAAGGGCAAGCAGCTGTCAGCAGCTATTCGGGGTGATGAGGTTCATTCAGCATCACAAGATGCTTCCCAGCACCGAATTTTTGGGAATGACCCTCCTCAGCCCTCCTACCAGCCAGGGCTGCAGTAGGATGGATCCCTCTGGGGGGAAAGAGGGAGAGAGCAAGGGAGGGAGTTCTTTTCAGTGGCAGCAATGACATGGTGCCCATCACACTGTCATGCCCCCAAGTTCTGGATACACCAGCCTGGCAAAGCGAAGGATGACTGTCTACAAGGCCACACACCTCAGAAGGCAGCAACCATCCCTGTACTAAAGAGTTAATGCTAATGAAAGAAAATATAGGCAGAAAACAGCCACAAAGCCAGAGCTTTGATAGCTCTCAGAGTAACTCAGATAGGGTCACCCTGTCACTCAAAGTCACATGGGACAGAAAAGCTGAACCTCTCCAAGGGGCTCATGAGTTCCCTGAAGACATCTGTCATCATAGGCCACATGACACAGCAGGAGGCTGGACTCCATAACCTCAGGGTTTCTGCTCATTTTACACCATACAGTGAAAAAGAAAACCAGGTTTTGACATTGGTTCTAGTGGGCTGGAAGGGCTCCCTTACACTTACCAAAGATATTTCTGTTACCTGCTTGGCAATGGTTCCTGCTGTACCTGGCGAAACTTCAACCAGTGACCTCACCCAGGGCATGCACTTATCCCACCCTTGAAGGCAATAGGCTGAATTTCTGATTTTCCACGTTTCATTTTGACAAGTTCATAGACTAAAGCAGACTAAAATACAGAGAACTGGGTACAATACCAAGGCTTTCTGCTCTGCTTTTAAGACTATCCTTTGTCTTAAAACCCAGTGCTATCCTTTTCATTCACAAGAGATGCTTTATGTGACTTATTACAAATCAGCATGATTAAGACAAGGATTAGACACCATTGTTGGGATGTCAAGATGTGATGTTTAATAATAATAACTTAATGATTTAAGGTCAATCAAAATTCATTTGTGCATTCCTTAACCCACATGTCATTAAATGTTGGTTTTCAGTTGTTCCTGTGTGTGAGGAAGCTGCAGAGCGTGGTTATGAAAAATGCAACAAAAACAGCAGAAAAGCAGTGCAGGGCTCCACGGACATACCCTGACATGTTGGCTGCTGTTTTCCGTGTCACTAATGCATCAGACACTGTGTTCAGGGAATAGATTCACATACAGCGAGTGTTTCACAGAGAAAGGCTGCATAACACCTCCAGAGCAACATTAAGCAAGCACCTTAACACCTTTTTTATGGAGTGCAGGGAACAGTTGACACTGTCAAAAGCCACTGGGAACAGGGTTCAGAGCATCCAGTCTCCTGCCCCTGCCATAGCCAAAGTCCGTCTTTCCTTCCCAGTACTTGGCCACAATCACACCGACAGAGAAGAAAACACAACGGCTTCCACATAGAGCCCTTCCCTTTCCCTGAGAGCACTGCCCAAACAGCTGGCTGTGTCACACATGCACACTGCCACACCAGGGGTTTAGTGTGACCCTGCCTTGCCTTGGCAGGCTCTCACAGCCACTGCTAGCCCAGGGGGCCAGCAGTGGATGCTGCTCCTGAAACAGCAGCCTCTGGCAGCTCTTACTATTCCTTACTTTTTGGATAGAAAAAGCCCAGCACCCAGTCCCTCACTGTAGCAGTGATCCCAGGAACTACACCTCATCCTACCAGCATCACAGCAAGCCCAGTGCAGGACAGATTCAGCTGAAACACTCACCTCCAGCAGCCCTCAGCATCAACTGGAACAAAGAAACTGCCCCACCATCGCAGGCAGACAGCAGTGTGTAGTGTTTATCTCATAGCTGCCGAACGGCACTGCGTGCTCTATCTCCAGCGCAGAAATCCGCTCCTTCACAGCAGCTGTGTGCCTCTTTCAGCTCTCTCAGCAGTCCACGATGTGGCAGGATGCGATGGGAGGAGCAAGGAATGCCACAGCTCACGTGTATTTGTTTCACTTGCAAGAGAGTAGCCTTTCCCCAGCACCAGATGAGAAACACTTGAACCTACCTTAAGGGTAACGCCATACCTGTAGGACCTACTACTTATATTCCTGACATATGCAAGCAGAGATTTTAATCCCCCACTCTGTCAAGAAACTCATCCTTCCACAGCTGACTCCTGTATTCACCCAGGGAAGGCAGATGAATGAAATTCAGAGCAGACCTGACACACCAACAGTCCTATCCTTCAGCAATAAAACTCTGAAGGAAGCATCTAGACTTAAGCCTCCCCTCCCTCCTTTCCTCCCAGAACACCTCTTTTCTCTTGTTTTTTGTGCTATGCACAGGGCTTGTTGGGCTACTACCCACACAAACCACTGTGCCCTCCAGCCCAGCCTGTACTATGAGGTACAAGCCATGTCTTCTAGAAACACAGCACAGGCATCTTCCAAGGCAGGGTATGCCAGGATGGGGAGCTTAAAGCATTTCTCCTTCAAGGCCTCAATTTTGTAATTAGGTCAATGTAAGTAGAAAGGTTCTCCTGCATGGCAACCCTACACCTTCTTTCCCTTACTGTCACCCCCAGTTAGACCAGAGCATCCTGACCAGGGCTACCCTGCATCGGTGAGTGCTGATCTCCCTCTGCAGACCAGTCTGCATTGGAATTAGTGGTGGCTTATGGATTGCTCAGCAGATAAGAATCCCCAAGACAAGACACTTGCACAGAGTTATGGAAACCTACACAAGCCAGCCAGCAACTATCAGCTTCTTTAAGCCTTGCTTCTTTTTGCATGTTTTGTTCTAAATTGTTTTTCTCTTTGTTACAAAGATGCCCAGAACAACCTGCAGCAGCAGCACGATAGATCAGCAGGGAATCAAAATAGAAAAAATACATTGTCCACACAGGATAACTCAGAGTATTTTTATTTAACAAAAATATCTGTTTAATTAGAAACCAACAACATCCACATAGTTACAGGTTTTCCTAGGCATCACTGTTAACTCTGCATACAGCTTCAATCAGGCTCCACAGTCACCTCATCACCACAGCAACAGCAGAGCTCAGAACCTGAACGACATCCAGGTGTGGCTTCCATACCTTGTGGGCCTGAAGACATTCACAGTGTAACAAGCCTTTCTATTGTAGTTGCCACAGTTTCATTACTTTGGTACAAAAATCACTGCTATTGCTGTAAGTCATTAGTTAATTTGTGACTTGCTTTTAAAATAACTGGGCATCAAAGATTTGATCTCTGTATGAAAACTATGATTAAAATTGAGCTGGTCCTTTTGGTCACTTGACAGGAGTGCTGTGCACCCATTCCTCCTGCCTTGCTCCAACTGCCATCAGACCAAGGAACTCAAAGGACAGACTATCCCTGTCTCAGGACAGCTTGTCAGCTAGCATTTCATGGCTTCAGATTTTACTTTTTTTAAAAACAAAAAAAACACAGAGAAAGGAATATATACATGGGTGGCTTCAAGTTTCCATTTCAGGATAAGGCAGTTAAGTTTACATGTGTAAATGCCAGTGCAGCTGAACCCCTCTTTAGGGGGCTGTTTCAAGAGGCAGCATGCAGAAAGAAAATTTTTTGGGGAGTGGGCTCCCCTGAGCAGCTGGCCTGGAAGGGCTCCCTGGGTCCCAGGCAGCACATGCCAAACACATTAATCACGCAACTTGTGTAGTAAAGGCTCAGGCTCACAGAAAGTGATGGGAAATGTCCTAGCCAGGGGAAAAACACCTTCCCAACCCCAATACTGTGAAATCTCCATGGCACTAAAAGCAGGTGATGAACCAAAGCTGCTTCTTCAGCTGAAAGAAGAAAGGAGTTCTAACAAACACACAGAGAGAAGGCACGGAGGGAAAGGTTGCATTGCACCTTCTTCCTTGCCAGCTGTCCTGTACACTTACACTCACCACAACCTGCACAGAAACAGGCACACTCCATAGGCATTTGTTTCTGTGCTGGTCATACTGCCTGAGTATCCAGGTGCCCAAGCCCAGGACAACTCTGTGCAACAACTCCTCAGTGTTGAAGCAATTTGAAAAAAAATAAATTATTTTTAAAAAATAATATGAGGCAAGTCCTAAATTGCTTAAACTGGACAAAAAAAAAAAAATTGCCCACTCTAAACAT